CAGCGGGGAGAAGACGGTGGTGTGCAAGCACTGGCTGCGCGGGCTCTGCAAGAAGGGGGACGGGTGTGACTTCCTGCACGAGTACGACGTGACCAAGATGCCCGAGTGCTATTTCTATTCCAAGTTCGGTAGGTGTGGGACGGGGTCGAGGACCCCAGCGAGCCTCTCCCACCCCAGCACCCATGTCCCTCCAGTCTGGCCTCGAGCAAGCGCCTGATGCCACCTCCTGTCTGCGGGAAGAAACACCACTGGCACCTGCCCAGGGCCACCATTCCCCAGGCCAAGCCTGGGTGTTCCCGGGGCACTTCTGTTCTTCCCATCCAGCCCATCCTTGAGCACTTTCCACTGCATTTGGCTTGAGCGACTGTTGTCCTACCCCTTACTCCCGCAGGTGAGTGCAGCAACAAGGACTGTCCCTTCCTGCACATTGATGCCACCACCAGAACCATGGGCTGTCCCTGGTACGACCGCGGCTTCTGCAGGCATGGTGAGCTGCTGGGATGACTGCTGGGGTGAGCAGGGGCTGCCCATGTTCCCTACCCACAGGTGACGGGGGGGTCTGGACCCCACTGCTGGCCCAATCTCCTGCCACCTCTGAGGTGACCGAGCCCAGAGTGGGGTGAACCACAGCGGGTTGTCTGGGGACTGCCTGGCAGTGGGACTAGGTGCCCAGTGGGGATTTGGGCTTGGGGCAGCAAAGGCCCCATAGAGCTGAAGGGGAACAGGGCTGCTGGGGAAAGCTGGGCTCCCGAAATCCCTGCGGGGCAGGGGGTGTGGTACTGTGTCCTCACAAACAGGAACTTCTCCTCTGCGTGGCAGGTCCCCTGTGCAAGTACAAGCACACGCGGAGGGTGATGTGTGCCAACTACCTCGTTGGCTTCTGCCCAGAAGGACCCAAGTGCAAATTCATGCAGTACGTACGGGGCAGTCGGGGGGGGGGGGGGCCACCAAGAGGCGGCGCGGGTGGGACAGCCCCCTCTCCGAGGCTGCAGAGGGGGACATGGCCCTTGCAGTTTCTGGGTCAAGGACCAGGGCGCTTTAGGCCCTTGTCTGAACTAACTGGACCCCTCTGGTCTCTCCTCACGTCCAACCTGAGCTGGTGACCGCAGGGTTTGCAGCGGGTGGGCAGGGGACAGCCCCGGTCCCCATGGGGATGCCTGTACCAGCTGTCTGAGTGCTGGGACAGCCCTGAGAGGCCATGGGAGCCATGGGGGGCTGTGGGGGAACCGCCTGCCACATCCCAGGGAGTAACTGCCGGTCCTCTGTGTCTCTCTCCAGCCTCAAGGCCGGGCTGATGACGAGCAGCACGGATCCATCCAAGGTGATGCGGGGAAGGTCCTATGCCATTCCCTCTTGAGCCGAAGCCCTTTTGCTCTGTGCCTCTGCCCATCAGGGTGATGCACCAGCTGCCCCTGCCCCACAGCTCTTGCTTCCCTTGCTTCTGCCCCAGCTCTTGTGGGAGCTTGTGGGACAGCAGCTGCCAACTGCCCCTCCTGCCCCATGTCCCCCCAGGGAGCTGGCTGTCCTTGGGGGCTGGCACAGTTGGATTTGGCTGCCGGCGGGGAGAGTGGATGCAAGGACGTGCCACCCGTGGAGCCCCCTCTACCAGTCACCGGCGCTACCTGGCACCCGACAGAGCAGCTGCGGGACACCAATAGCTGCCCCCTGGGCCCGCAGAGCCCGCTTGAACGAGGCATCTGCTTCAAGGTGAGTGTTTTTGGGACTGGGAGGCCTGGGAGCAACGGTCTTGCCTTGGAGGGAGGGTAAAGCGCTATGGCGAGGGGCAGCATGGGGCACAGGGACTCCCACAGTGCTCTCAAAACAGCCTCCTTGACTGGGGATGTCTTGTCTTCTCCCTGGGCTGTGTTTTGTGGTCCTGGAGCCTGCCCCCCCCCAAGGCAGCTGGGGTGTGAACCGGCAGGAAGGAGGCTGTACTTGGATTGAAATAATCTGACCGCAAGCGAAGGGACTTCTGTGCTAATAAACACTTGGCACGCAGCGGAATGGCCCTGGAGGGCTGCGAGCCCCTTGTGTCCCTCTGGGTCAGAGGTTTGTTGCAGTTGGAGGTCTTGGGATGCCGCTCGCAGGTGAGAGCTGTGCTGGAACCAGGCATGGCTCCATTAGCCCAGTCGCTGGGAAATGATGTGAAAATGAACATGCGGTAACATGGCGCTGGGTTGATCCAGCACAAAACCAATGCCTGCCTCTCCCCGTCCCCCCAGTGCAGACAGAAAGGTCACCACGCCGGTAAGTGCGGGAAGACTCAGCTGGAAATCCTGCTGGAGAAGTGACTCGAGTGCTCCCGCACGGACCGTGGAAGGAGGACACCGGAAAGCGCGACGGAGCCAACAAGACGGCTACTAGGGCAGTTGCTGGACTAGAAAAGCCAGTCGGTTTTGCTCAGCACCGGCTCTCACAGCTCTCTGCGCAAGCAGCAGAGAAATCACAGCTTCCCCAACGCAACCAAAACCGGACTCTTCACAGCCGCCTCCGTTCCCTCCCGCGCAGCCGGCTGCCGACGGGCTGGGGCAGCAGGAGCGGTCACTGTGCAATCACAGGTTTGAAGGGGCACGGGACCAGCTTGTGGCCAGGTCCCGGGCAGGTGAGGGCGTGGGTGTGCTAACCCCCTCTGAAGGTGGGGCAAGAAGCACCACACTTGAGAACACACAGTACCAAGCAGGAAAGGAAAATTCACAAAGGCTTTTATTGCTGGGAAGAGGGAGTTTTTGGTGAAACACCTCTGGCACAGTACTACTGCACTGCTCTTTGAATAAAGAGTTCAGATTTTTTTTTTCTTGGCTTTTTTTTGTTGTTTTACCCTTCATGCCTGTAACATGACCAACCCTTTTCCAGACATGTTCGGTGATGGCAGGCCACAACTAGCGCTCTCATAACTGTCCTCATTTGTCTGATGCAGACATAGGTTTGCCCTTCGGGCACAACAGCTAATGCAATGGATTTTCTTCCTCCAGAAACAGGGTGCTGCGGTCTGAGTGCTGCTTGCTTTAATGCCTTCACAAAGGTCCTTCCCTCAGAGCCTGGGCAGTCCCACCAGCGCCGTGCTGACAGCGAAGTAGGGGCTGGGAGCCCTTTGTGGAAGGGCCCTGCAGGGACCACCCTTCTCCTGCCAGTCGGTAGCAAACCCCATCGTGCTTGCTGTGGAGAGGGGTAAGACGGGTAAGATGGGCTGCGCCGGGCACAACTCTGCTAACTTAAAGGGAATGGTTATTCTGGCCTAACCCCACCCTGCCACAACCCATCACAAACCTTACTGCCAAACACTCAGACTACAACGTACGTGTCGATTAATCTATATTAACAGCCCAGGTCAAGGAGCTGCCCTGTGTCTGGCGTCCCAAAGCGAGATATTTGGGCTCCTGCAGACTACAGGAGCTCTACTGCATACAGACCTCCAAAGGGGCGGCTCTAACACTTTCTTCTTTCAGTACTAAATGCTGCCTGAACCACAGAGCAGTGACCGCAGGCTGTGACTGTCAGTGTCACCCCTCCGGCTACAGGAGGGTAACTGAAAAGCAGCCCCCTCGACAATTAATGAACCTGTCTCTGACAGTAAATGGGCCTCTGCTGATTTGAATCCCTGTTGGGACACTGGTTCTGAGCACTTCTGCTGGCTCCCAGTCAAATATTTGTGACTGTTCCTTGGGTGTTGTTCCAGCTTCTTCAGTGGTATTTACGCCAGCGATGACACTCTAGAAAAACAGGGCGGGGGGGGGAAACCAGAAGAGCGTTAGCACAGTGCTATGCTTGGGCACTACGTGAGCCTGCTTTGCCCAGCAGCGATGAGCAGGAGACTGACTGCAGCCTCCTCTGTTCACGTGCTGTAGAGCTGCGCGTGAAAGCAAGTCCTGCTGGGGAAACGACACAACCACCAGTAAATCTCTTGCCAGTTATGAGTAAATCCAGGGAATGGGCGCTTGGTGTTGGAACACCTCCTCCCTCCGCTTTGTGCAGGGTTTAAAAGTGCTCCCGACAGTTCCTGGCGCTCTCCAGGGAGAAGCTGTGAATCAGCAACTATCACCAACTTTAACTAAATTCCTCTGCCTACCTAAGCCAGGTCAGAATACTGTTCTCCGAGCTCTGGTATTAGTCTTAACTGTGAAGTATTTAAGCTATTTCAGGGCTTGAATTAACATGAATGGCAAATTGACTCTCCACCTACTGCAAAAAGGGGAATTGCCTGAAATAAGACAGATACCAAGAAGGAAATCTTACTGATGTGCTGATAGTTCCAGACATAGCTGAGGAGGCAGTACCCAGCCAGCAGCATGGAGATCCCAGCCGGTCCGCCCCTCTTCACGTTGATGTATTTGTTGTAATAGCTGCTCCAGGCTGTTGGAACAGAAATGCAAGGGTCAAATCACGCACAGGTCTTACGGAGTTCACTGGTTTCTGTGTAACTTTCCAAAGCCAAATGGTTGGGTCTATTAATTTATTTCTTTATAAAGATCCAAACTGGCCGCTTGGACCAGGCTGCAGCAAGTGAATCAGGTAAGTGGGACAATTCTGCCCCAAGAGCTGGGAATTTACCTTTCCGCACTCCTCCAAGCAGCCCCTGGGGAGACAAGTCGCAGGTGGCCAGCCACGCGGGCAGCTCCCCCAGCCTTACATCCATCAGGTGCCTTTCTGCGAGGGGACCTGTGCGAAGTCAGAGTGGTCAAAGGCAGGAAAGTGAGGGCAATGCTTGTGGTGCTCGTGCGTTCCCTGCGCTGGGGGCCGAGCACGGAGCCGGTATCTGGTACAGCTGCAAGAGACTTGGGCCTTACTGCTCAGAAAGGAAGAGCGATTTGTCTCTCCCACAAAGTGAGTTGGCTCCACCAGCCCAAACATGCAAGAGCCTGTCTTAAACCTAAAGAGAAATGTAAACCGTTGGTTTTGCAGGCTGGGGGGTTAGACAGTTAACCTCCTTGGATCCTTCCTGGATCACTTGCTGGACAAGCCCAGCAGCTTAGAGTTTCCTACCCCTCCTCTCCCATTCACAACAGACAGTTTAGCCTGACGGTGCAGTAAATCTCAGCAGCAGAGACTTCTGTTTCTCACATTACCTTGCCGTCCCTCTGAGAAATTGCCCTTTGGTATCTTTGTTGTGATCCCCACATCTTCTTGGAAAGGTTTCCCTGGAAAAATACTCAGCCCATCATAATTAGGATACAAGTCTGGAAACCACTCCAAGCCCATGGCACCTGCCGGCGTGCTCCTGCCAGAGGCCTGGGATAGACAGATGGGTTGGCTTTTGGAGGTGTGGAGCAAGAACTGGTGTAGCGCCAGCTCAGTGTCCCTCCTCGCATTCAGGATGGGCTCAGAAGCTACAGCCATCTGCTCCTTGCTCTCTCGAAGCTTTTGTATGCTGGTTAGGTAATTTTTGGATGTCCCTTCATTGTGACCTCTGAAACCCTCTATCACTGACAGATGGACGTTCTTGGTATGCAAAGCAGAAAGAGGGGCTTTACATTCCACACCAACTTCTAGGTACATCTGCTTCTCTTCTGCCACAGTTTTGTCTATTCCCTTCTGCTGAACGAGGTCACCAGGGCTATGGCTGCGGTCAGCTTCAGGGGGATCTTTAAGTACGGGTATTTTTATTGCCTTTAAACTACTGCCTTTTTCTCCCTTTGAGCTCGCAGGCGCGTTCTCCGCAGCTCCGAGGCCGCGCGTCTCTGCGTTTGCGGTTTCTGGAGCAGTTATTCCCTCCCGTGGGCCAGGCTGGGCTGCGTCAGCGGGG